TGAGTGTGTATGTGTGTGTGCAGTGGTTGGCGTGCATGGTATCCAGGGTGATCCGGAGTCGAGTTGCGTGTGAACTCTGAGTCGAACGTGTAAGTGTGGGCGCCCAGCGCCATAGTCAACTGAAGTAAACTTGGATTTGAGTTGAGTTGCAAGCTACCATATCTCCGAGTTTGAGTTGGGTGCACAGCGCCAAGTTATTCTCATCTGTTGCATGCATGTTTGAGTGTGAATTTGCAAGACTGATTTCATCATAAAGACCGGGACGAAAAAGTCCTCAAGTTTTACTGCAGGACCAGACAATGATTCTGGCCTACTTTCAATCTGGTTTCTCTCTTGAAGGGCAGTAAGGAGAAGTCCCTCGAGTGTTACTGCAGGACCACACACACAATGATTCTGGACAACAATGGTTTCCTTCCTATGAGCTTGGTTAACGTAACTCAAGCACCTAAACCACATATCTTTGACTCACTTTGATCCGTGATCGCTGGAGATTTCCAAACACGAAGAAGTAATCGCCATCAGCCGCAGCAGTGAACGGATCTTCTCCCAAATCTGGAGCTCTTCCCTTGCCTGAGGAAGAATATGCAAACAACCAGAACACCAGCTTACAAGATTCAGTTTCCGTCTCACAATGGAGCAAGCGATGCTCATCTAAAAAAAATCCTTACAAAGAATACAGCAGCAGGTACTTTTATAAGGGTCACACACCTTGAGAGCGGGATAGGGAACCCTCTGAGCCTCAGAGAGTGCGGATCAGGACAACCAATCATCTACCCCCTGATTCCACCGGAATCAGCCCGGATCAGCATGCCAGCTAGATGAATACCAGTCAGTAATTATTCATCCTCTTCCTACACTCCCTACCACACTTCCTGTGATCTCTCTATTCTCCATAGTACTGAAACATTTTCAGAGTTTGCAGGTATGTCAAAGATTACCAGAAATGTGAACGCAACGAAAGCCAAGCTTTCTAACAGTGTCAACCGGACATTGACACGTCACACACACTTCCTGTGATCTCTCTATCTCCTTAGTACTGAAACATTTTCTGAGTTTGCAGGTATGTTAAAGATTACCAGAAATGTGAACACAACGAAAGCCCAAGAACCTGAGGGACAAGCTTTCTAACAGTGTCAACCCGGAAATTGACACGTCACACTCGTCACAAGGTCATATCACCTTCGCAATCTGGATGCGGGCACAAACACCACAGGAGATGAGATGCATATTAAACAGCCCCAAGCAATTGAACTGGCAACCTGCTGAGCATGGCTTGGCCACCCAGTGCAGAAAACCATAGCCATGGTGTCCCACAACAAGTGGAGCTGTCTCTAGCAGCAGAAGACAAGATGACAGCCTTCCATCCCTCTATGACCAGTCACAACAACAAACTTCAGCTAGAAGAAGAAAAACAACAAGCCCACCACACCCCATATGGTCTAAGAGAGTTCTCCCTCCATGATGCACCTATGACAACAAATACCCTTCAAATCTGAAGCAGTGGCTTCCCTTATTGGTATTACTCAAGTCGACAACTGTCTTTCCTCTAGCAGTATGCCTGGGCATTTTTAAGCCATTCCTTCCGGTTTCATCCCCGTCATTTCTTGCAACTGTTTGGTCCTGACACTATCAACTCTGTTTGTTCCTCCTTGGTTTCACTGCACGCCTTCTTCATCCCCCAATCCTTACCCACTCCTCACCCTCCTCCTCTTTCTCCTTGTTCTTCCCCAATTCACCTCTTTCTCCTTCATTCCCTCATTATGCCTGCCCTGCTATGCATGCATCACATGCAGAGTCTACAAGCACAGAGAGGGAAGAAACAAGGAGGGAGAGGCGGACATAATGCCCGAAGCTTCCAATTCTTCTCCTTCTCATTCACTGGTCTCCCATTTCACCTCCCAGTTTCTTGTCATCCAGAGTCATTTTCTTCTTCCTCCCTCCCCAGGCATGAAATGTTGGTCGGAGATGGTTTAAGAACATGCCACTCCGCCATTGCCATACTGATACTGTATACCTGTGGTTCAAGATTCTCCAATTCAGAGCCCCAGAAGCCTCCCTAGAGAACCCATAGACGTCTCAGATAAGGCGCACACACAAAAGGCTTTCCAAAGCCTTAAGCCACCACTTCTCACCAAGCAAAGTTACCGAACCACTGAAACAAGTGCGCACTTCCGAGCCTGGAGCACCAAACCAAAGGAATGTGGCCCCACGTGTTACGGACTCCGCCAGGGCTCGATCCCTGGTCTGCGGGTTACCACCCACCAGCTTGCTGTATTTATTCTTTTTTTTGTTTTTACAATTTTGAATTTTGAACAAGGCTACCTGTTGCGGCTTCGCCCGTAAAACAATGAAGGGAAAAGGGTGCAAATGAGGGTGGGTGGGGGCTTGTTTGTCCGGGTGTGGGTTTGGGTGGGGCCGTGGTGTTTTTTAGGCTCACCTGTGCACTGTTGTTGACACTGCCGATGCAATGCTGCTGCTGCTTTGATCGCCTTGAATATATGCTTTTTTCTCTCTTTTTGATTTTTTTTTGCTTTTTTCTCCTGTCAGAGACCTAATCACAGTTTGCATTCTTTTCAGTTGTGGTTTGCTGGGTATGTGATTGTTCGGATTTGAACTCGTCTGTTGTGTGTGTCACACGTTGCATACCTGTCTCCCGCTCACCACAAT